ATGAATGTCAAATTTTCTATCTTATGATATAAAATAGTAAAAAAAAATAAAATTGTTGGTAAAATAACATGTAATATCTAGTGTAAAAAATTACAAAAAAATATGCTCATCTATAATATCATATTCAAATGTGTATGTTTAAAGTTAAAAAGTTAATTATGTACTTTTTTTAATATTTCAATTTCAATTATTTTAAATTTCTGAAAAAAATATTAAACATTTCATTTAATATTTTTTTAACAATACTTATATAATTAATATGATTTTTTTAAAATTCAAACAATTTCTCATTTAGGCGATAAGATGGATATGATTATGACGAAACGTAGATAGAAGCTTTTTTTAATAGTATATTTATTTTAAAGATAAAATTAATTTTTATATTTTTAATAAAAACACTAATTTTAATAAAAAAATATTATTTAAATTAATTTATATACATATCTTAATCACATTCAACAACTCAACATTAATTATACTCAACTTTAAATTAAATAAACACTAAATCATTTTCTTAGTGGGTATTATAAAGAAAATGCAGTATAAATATGTAAAAATTTTAAAATACGAAATGATGTGCCATGCGGGGTTTGGAGTGAATAAGGAAATTTTAAAATAATAAAAAAAATGGATCAAATATTCAACCAATTTTGTTGAAAAAAATTCGTTCAAGTCTGAATTTATAAATAAATTGCAATTTAAAAAAGTTCAGTACTTTGCCCATCTTTTTTGAGCATGCATAATTGCCGATGCTTAAAAAAAAAAAAAAAAAAAAACTGACAACTCCCGTTGATACAAAACTATTTAATTAGCTTAATTTTAAAATTATGAGGACGTGTCTTATAAAAGAAGCCTTAACACTGCACTTGCGATGAAGAAATCATTAGCATGATGGTTTTAGGTAGCAGCTTTGCCATTTGTCAACTTAATTTGTTCAGTTTGGTGTATGGTAACTTGTAATAATCTACAAACCCAACCTAATCAATCTTACAACATCATTGTATTGTAAGATAAAATTCAATAATATTTCATTAAAATATTATTAATCAATACATACACAAAAAAAATAAAACCATTTTAGTAAGATGTTTGAATGGAATAAAAAATAGTAAAATATAAAAGATGTAAATAAAAATAAATAAAATAAAAATGATGTATTATTTGAATGAATAGAAATAAAAACGATATTTTAGATAAGTAGGAGAGATAATTGAAATAAATAAATAGATGATATAATTTTTTTATAATACTTAAGAAAATAAAATTATTTAAACATCTTTCCATTTTTTATTATACTTTTTATTTTAATAAAAAATCATTGTTTTTATACTTTTTTGCTATGAAATATTAATTTTATTTGCTAGTTAATTAAATAAAATTGCATTATTATTACATTTCATTTGATCTCACGGTTGAAAGGATGAGAAATGAAAAAATAAAGGAATGTTTGATTTCTTTTTTAAAAATAGTTTTTAAAAATAAATTATAATACAAATTTATATTATAAATTTATTTTTAAAAACTGAAAACAATTTTTAAAAGAGAAAACAAGTCTCACGAAAGTGGCAGCAACTTCATAACTAAATTTCAGTACTTCCGAATCAAGAAAATGTATTGAAATTGATCATTTGAATCCCATGGTAAATTTAATTCATGTTATTTTAATTTAATGAAAACAAACGAAGCTTAAATATTGATTAATGAGAATAAATATTTTATGAAAAATAAAAATTAAATTAAATTATTAGGGATGGAAATAGATAAAATACTACAATTTAACTTTTTTAAAGTCCTGCCTATTTAATTAATAAGTTTAATTTAAATATTTTAAAAAATTTAATTAATTAACTTTAACTTAAAAAAAACTTACTAAACTTATTAAAATAACCTATTTAAAACTTATAAATTTTATAGTAATATATTAAATAATTTTATACAAAAATTATAATATCATAATATATTAAATAAATTAAAATTTAAAGTAAAATTTTTAATATTTTTTTTAGAGTTGAAGAGTGTTTCATTTCATCCATTATATTTTTATGCATTTATTTATATTATATATAACTCTTTTTCACTGTGAATTATATTATTAAAAAATATTAATAGACTAAAACAAAATTTTAAAAAAATTAAGTTAAACTTTAACAAAAAATTTATGATAAATAATATGTTAGACTTAAACTTTAAAAAAATTAAATAAATCAGTTTATTTATGTAAAGCTTATCCTAATCCAACCTATTTTTATTTCTATCAGTTACAAATATAAAAGTGTTTAAAAATTTTAATTTTAGTAATAGCATAAATTGTTGTATTTAATAAAAATCAGTTTTATTAATAATTTATAAGAATTTCATTAGCTCTAATATTTATTGAATGAATATAATTTTAATTAAAGAAATTAAGAAAATAAAAAAATATCTTTATCAAATACATGACCACAGTAAAATTAGCAGGACAATAGTTTTGCTAATTTCTACTTAGGGAGTCCACAATAAAAGACTTTTATCCAAATTAGTTCACTTTAACTTAGACTCAAATGATTTAATTATCTTCAATTCACTAATATGCATCAATTTTAAATATAATATCAATTAAAATTGTATAGTATTTTGATTTGACATGAATATTAACAAAACTTATGTTGTAAACTAAAACATGCATTCAGTTTCGAAATAAAATATGCATTTACTTTGAAGAATGGGCAATGTATAGAAACACGCACGATGAGTTTCAGGTTAAAGGTATTTTTTTCTTGTCAAGCATTTACAAGGTGTTTTGCTGCTATATTTACATGTTAAACGTAAAATTGGTAATTCAGTCTTTTTATTTAATTTTTATTGTGATTTATTTATTAATTTTGGTCTTTTAAATTTTATTTTAAATTAATCTTTTAATCTCATTTATTTTTTTATCTTATCTTTTAAATATTGATCAAATATATAATTTTTATTAATTGTAGTTGAGTTTATAATTATTATTTGTTAGTTTTTTAATTTATTATTCTTCCTTTACTTTTTTTTCTTCTACTTGATTGACATAATTAAACATAATTAATACAAAAATTTAATATTATAAAAATTAAAATAAAAGAAAAAGTTAAAGAACTAAATCAATACAATCATATGTTTATTCAGTTCATTCTCTTTTGTTCATCATTTTAGTGAAACATAAGTGCATTATTTTAATTTATTAAAATCCATATCTATTTTATACTTATCACTTGTGTATGAATTAATTTTTATATTTAAAAATTTAACATTTTAAATTTTATATAAGTATTTTATTATATTTTAATATTTGTAATTATAATACTATTATATAAATATTCTTATTAAATTATGACTCATGTATATATATTTCTAACGAAATAATAATAATAATAATAATAATAATAACAATAATATTATTATTATTATTATTAAAACATAGTAAAAACTATAAATATAAATATATATCAATTTATGAAAATTAAATACATATTATAACTTTTTTACTTCTATATTCGTAGATGTTATGTTTTCAGTGTAAAATATAATCTTTGTATTTTCTTTCGTTTGATTCTAGCATATTTATCATAAATTTAATTTTATCGTATGATAATATAATTAACCATCTTTTATAACTCTAAATGTTAGACTTTAACGAAATAATATTAAAAAAAAATTAAAAATGATTTAAATAAAAATATTTAAGTATATGAGTGGATAAATAAAAAAATATAAAATAATGGTACATAAAAAATATTAAAATATATAATAAAAAATGACTGAAAATCTAAAAAAATACTAATAAAAAGAGTGAATTGCATAATTCTTAATTTAACAAAGAGAAAAGTTGAGAAACACCCAATAGAATCTTAGACAAAAATTATTAAAAGAGACTTTTTAATTAATTAAATTTTTAAAACTTTAATTTTTAACTAAATGCAATGATTTCATGTAATTTATGTAACAAACTTTACTTAGTTGTCGTTGATTCTAGCACATTTATCAAATATTTATTTGATGTGGTGATATTGTTTAAATTCAAAATATTGATACTTTATTAAAAAACATTTAAGTTTAATTGGTAAATAAAATAAGAAAACTAGATTGAATATTTTTTCATCTTACTTTAAATATTTATTTAACTAGTAGATATATTAAATTTATCTTATAATTTTATTTAATTTTTTATTAATGTAAATTTTATTTCATTAGAGATTCAGCTATAAATAAACATGAGATAAGATTGCTGTGTTAAAGTGAAATTATTTATTCGAATTTCATGTTAAAAAAAAAGATAAAAGATATTATAATTTTTTTATTATGTATTTTCTAATTGCAACAATATCTAACTCTTATTTTGGACTCTTTTAATGTTGAAAATTTGAGTAATTATGTGTGAAATAAATATTTATAACTTTATCAATTCAAAAAGTATATGTAAGAAATTATAAAATAATAAAATAATACTAAAAGTTCATAAAATTATGAAAAATATGAAACAAACTCTTTATTTTTCTCTACAAAACATCATAATATATATGATTTATTGTTTTAATATATTAAATATAAAAATATCTGATCAAAGAAGGTTTATTTTATTTATTTAAAAAATGATTGAAAATGATATTTAAAACAACTTATGAAAAATAAGTGGATATAAATAGAAACAGGCTACAAGTGTTTGAAAAAAAAAGACAAAAAGAAGAAAAAACAGAGTAAAATGAAAAGAAATTTATAAAAGGAAAAAAAGTGGTAAATGGTAATTAGAGGAAGAGGAAAAGTTGTATCCCAAGTCAAAAACACAAAGAAAAGAAAAAAAGGGGAAATACAGCGTAGACTAAGTCAAATCACAACTACATTCAATTCGATCAAATCAACCACAGGCACACACCAGCACTTTTCAACCCACTCTCGTTAGCGTCCCCCGCCTGTCATCCAACGCACCCTCTAACCCTTCCCTCACCCGCGCGTCACTTTACCATTCCCCCGTCACCCTACCTTTTTCTCTCACTCGTTAACTTTCTCTCTGTAAAACAAAACACACTCTATTTCTCTCTCTCTCCTCCTTCCATGTTCATTTCTCTCTCTACCTCTTATGAGCCCTAACTCACGCGCCCATCATCGTTAACCATGTCGCTGAGGAAGGTCTTTCGCTCTCGCAAATTCTCCAGATCGTTCAAGGAGCCGCCGGTAATTGACGCCGCCGATGACCGCCGTGACGCCGCCGGCGAGGATGCAGCGCAGGGCAACGGGTGGTCGAGCATGTTGCCGGAGATTCTCGGCGAGATCATACGGCGAGTTGACGCCGCCGAGGAGCAGTGGCCGCACCGCCAAAACGTCGTCGCTTGCGCGTGCGTGTGTAAGCGGTGGCGAGAAATGACGCGTGAGATCGTTCGGTCACCTTCCCACAACGGCAAAATCACTTTCCCTTCTTGTCTCAAACAGGTTCTCTTCGAAAATTTGTTGTTTTTTGTTTTTCGTTTGTGGGTGGCATTTTTTTTTAATTTTTGTTTTTCTTTCCTTTTGATTGATGCTGTAGTTTGAATAATATGTACCCTAGAACAGAAAAGTGGAAGATTTTGTGAGTTGTTTTGACGATTTTGTTGTTGTTGACTTGTTATTGGAGCACTGGTTAATCTGTTAAGTTTGTTTGTTTTAAAACGTTTGTAGGATTGAAATTTTGGTTGTTCATGAGATGATTGAATGGTGTAATTTAGGTAGTAAATCGTATATTGGTGAGTGGTGAATTACAAGTTACAATTTGTTGTGGGGATCGATTGTGATTTAGGTAGTGGCCGATAGTTGGATTGGTGCACTATTGGTGCTTGGGAAACTGGATTAGTTTAATTTAATATAAATGAATGTTAAAATGATAAGTACGGTAATTAAGGTTTCTGGATCAGTGCGTGTGATCAGTTAATCGCAATATTTATCTGGATGTAATGGAAAATATGGAAGAATTGGAAATAGGGGTCCATTTTGTGAGGGAGTTTTTCAGATGTGATCGTGTTTGCAGTGTCCAAATAGGTGGATGGAGTTTCATCTAAATTTTAGCAGATAAAGATTGCTAGTTTGCATAAAGTATTTTTGCACTATTGCCCCTGCCTGACACTTGTATGTGATATTTTCTCAGCGATATGAATGATTAGTGATTTTGTTGTGACTTGTGATGGGTGTTTTTTTGTGTAACGCTTTTGTGATAATTTTGATGAGCATTTTTTTTCTATTCATGGATATTAATTGTTTATTTTGTATTGAATAAGGGAATATAGGAGGCTTGGAATTTCACAATCTTGTTATGTTTTGATGATTTGCAGCCAGGACCACGTGACATTCCCCATCAATGTCTTATAAGGCGGAACAAAAAGACCTCAACTTTTTATCTATATCTTGCCCTTACACCATGTAAGTAAGTATTGTATTGGTAAAAGATGTTTATTACTTGTTTCTAGTCTAGAGTTGGATGAAAATGAATTATGGCTGCCGTTGAATAATCTTCCATGCTCTTTGGCTCTTCCTATGGGTAGAGCGTTGACTATACAAAGTCTAATGATGTATGTGTATAGACTAGATCTGGGCTCGATCTTATTCATCAAGTGTATAACCAAGCTGTTCTTGTTTGACTAAACAAGCTTTACTTTTCGTGCTTCAAAACCCCAAAAGTATTAAGGGCCTTGTAATTTGTGAACATTGAATGTGACTTTTATTTATATTTATAAATGCAAACAGAAAATATATGTCAAACTGCATGACTCTAGCTACCTGGTCGACCAGACTAAGTCCAAGATGATTTGCTTTAGTCAACTATAGACTCTTGTGCAATTTATGCATCTTAAGTAGTTTGATTACCCAAAATATGAAAAGAGAAACAAAAAGGAGTGAAATTATTTCAATAGTATGTTATGTTTAGGAACAATAATTGGAGATGTTTTTCAAAGATAGAAGTGGAAGGATCTATGACTCTTGGTGTGATTGTGGAAGTGTAGTGTGGGAAATATGCAAATTTGAAATCGCTTGGAAGCTTCGTTTCTCAGGATGGGACTGTTAGTAATAAAAGAGAAGTTGTTATTTAAAACAGCTTGAATACAGATTCCAATATGTTGGGACATAGATATATTATTTTGCAATAAAAAACATGGTGTTCATAATTGCTTAATTCCACCTTGATCTTGCAGCATCTTAAATTTCTTAATGTTTGTTTAGAGTGTGTTAGTTTTGCTCATGAGAAATAACTTCAAATGATTCTTATTTTGTTGATTGGGTAAATAATTCATTTCATAAAAATATACAGGTGTTGAAATCAATGTTCTTTTCTATTTATATGCGACATTGCTTGAGTAGACCTATGTTTAGAGGTCCATAGGATATGATTGATTGAGATGCAGGACAGCAATTGGTTAGCTTTATTTCGTGCTTTTTCCTTTTCAATTTATGTGTAATATAATGTATTTATATTTGTAGTAGTCCTGGGATTGTCACATTGAAATTAAATAGAGCTGTAGAATTCGTTGCATTGACCAATTACTGGTAGCAACATTATTTACTGTAAAATTGTGTTTGATGTAGGTGAAATTTGGAATCTTCAATTGCTTTAAAGAGCCGTGAAACTTTATAATATCAATTTTGTTAACATCAGCCTTGGGCTGATTTTAAGCTACTAAAAGGGGAAGATCTTTTTTGGGAGAGGAAGCATTTATTACATTTTCCTTTCTCAAAGTTAAACCTTTAATTTGTAGTTGCATAAATCTAAGATGCTAACAAAAGTTACAGAACTGTTAAAATATTAATTAATAGAATAAAAATACTATGATTTATGAGGTTTTGTAATGAATAATTTAATTTGTAGAGTAGTTTATTGTTGCAATGATTGAATTTTTAAATGATGCTTGTCTGAGGATTATTTTTCTCAGTATTATAAGGAATATAATTGTGATGATACTGCACAACGAATGATTTCTCTTTTACATTTTCTTTGATGTGCTGGAAATTCATGTCTCATTTTATTTGTTCCTGCTTTACTCTCTTACCCATTGCCAGCTTTTACGGATAAAGGAAAGTTTCTGCTAGCAGCTAGGAGATACAGGTGTGGTACCCACACTGAGTATATAATTTCACTCGATGCTGATGACTTATCCCAAGGAAGCAATGCTTATGTCGGAAAGTTAAGGTAAATCTCTTTTTCCATATAAATGGAAAAGCTTCTTCTGTGTTCTTTCTTAAGTTGAATGGTGAGGTCTAGACGTTCTAGTATTTGCAAGATCTTGCTACTCATCACCTTTTATTACAGACACATATGGTCTATGTTTTTTAAATGCTTTAGCTTAGAAGCATTTGCTGTGAAACTTAACCTTTTATTTTATCTTTTGTGGTTGTGTTGGTGAGAATTAGAACTTTGTTTCTGCTCAATCTCAAAGTTGTCAGATGAGTTACAGTTCATCTGCTTTCCTTTTACCAAGCTGTGCCTACAAGTATCAAAAAGCAAGTATCATATGAACTTTACTTTTTACATTTGCTTAAATGATTAAGCTTCTCGGCAATCTCTCTGAACTGCAGCCCGTCTCCTGCCAAACCCCCTCTTCAACCCAAAAAGAAAAATAAAATCCCAATGAACATTAGAAGGAAAATAAAAATAAATCACCACTCTAATCACACCTTCAGTTGTGGCAGAAAGGCAAAATGTTCTATTTGCTTCTGTTTAACAAGCAGGGGTGCAAATAGGTTGATTGCAGTGTTGTTTTTAATATCTGAACTGCACTGAAAAGGATATAGGAGCAAATTCATTGGTTTTAGAAGATTGAAACTATTGCAAATGATTGTACCTTACAGTCCGCTTGTCTGTCTTGTATTAAACTACTAGTTAGTTTGCCTTCATTTATATACGAAGATGAATTAAATGATATTAGTATCCTAATCCTTTAAATGCTCTTAGTCTCATCTAGACATAAATATTTGATGCTTTCACGTTAGTATTTTTTTTTTAATTTCAATAAAGAAAGCCTATGTATGTGAATATATAATATAGTAAAATCTTTTGCTTGTTGAGTATCATTCAATGACAACTTGGTTGCTGAACAATCTCTTCACAGCTCGGATTTTCTTGGCACCAACTTCACAATTTATGACAGCCAGCCACCCCATAGTGGTGCAAAACCATCAAGTGGCCGAGCAAGCCGTCGGTTCGCCAGCAAGCAGATAAGCCCACAAGTTCCTGCAGGTAACTTTGAGGTGGGGCAAGTCTCCTACAAGTTCAACCTTTTGAAATCAAGAGGGCCAAGGAGGATGGTTTGCTCCCTGAAGTCTCCTGTCTCATCAGCGGGTGAAAGTTCAGACAGCTTGTCTCTTGATAACCATAAGATGCATGGTAAAGAACTCGCTGCATCTGGCTACACAATCTTGAAGAATAAAGCCCCAAGGTGGCATGAGCATTTGCAATGTTGGTGCTTGAACTTCCATGGTCGTGTTACAGTTGCCTCAGTGAAGAACTTTCAGCTAGTTGCAACTGTGGACCAAAGCCAACCAGGAGGAAAAGGAGATGAGGAAACCGTTCTCCTCCAATTTGGTAAAGTAGGGGATGATACTTTTACCATGGATTATAGACAACCCTTATCTGCCTTTCAGGCTTTTGCCATTTGCTTAACTAGCTTTGGCACTAAACTTGCATGTGAGTAATATAATTTTGGTTTCACTATGCTTATTATTTATTCCATGGATGTTTTAAGTGAATAGTTATTTTTCTTATTTTTTTTACTCGGCTTTGAGTCTACAATTTGATTGAAGGAAGAAGCTTGTTGTAAATGTTATAATATTAATAGGACATGACATCTTCCATAATCAAATATATTGGTCTCTCCCCGCCATTGATGATCCGTTTTGATTTTATTTTAATTCACGTTAGCGTGCACATATTTTTCTAAGCTCGGTTTCTTGTGATTGTAAAGGCCACCTATTTAGTTTGTCATTCTATTTTTCTGGTGAAACAGGTTAGACTAAGAAAAAGAGGGTGGCATATCAATATTTAATTTCAGTTGACAGATAAATGTCACACAAATGAAATGCACGTTGTATTAAATTATTATCATGCTATTTTTCCTGCTCTTGGTATCCTGTCCCTTCTGCTCGGGTGTGGATTATTCTGGTCCAGCAAAAAGGTTGAATTGTTTGTAGGTTGTTCTGGACCAGAAAGTTATTGACTTATATTAACAAAACATGGGCCATGATGTGGGAGAAATATTCAAACACATAAATGTTGTATAGCCTAAACTAGTGATTAGTAAACGATTTTTTTTTGGGATAAAAAAATTGATTTTTTTAATAGGTAAAATATTGCATATGACAAGAAATTAATAAATAATTTTCTGTAAAATTGTAATATTAATGGATTAAATTGTATTAAATTTTATAATCTTTTATTACATTGCATAATCTTATTATATGTAAGTTTAAAAATTTGATTAGTAAATAATATATATTTTTGTTTATATTAACCAACTGTATAAACATTTGCATCAGTTAATAATATATGCTATTGAGCGTCCTAGTCATATTTGATTTCGATTGATTTTGGGAAGTATTTTCCAAAATTTCTCAGAAGTCGGTAAATTCTTTTTTCAGAATAACTTTGTACGAAAGTTTCTGATGATGTTGAGAGCAAAAGCTGCATCAGATGCTTTATGAATGGCAGGTATAATGGCTTAGTTATGGTATAAATGATGTGTGAATCGTCCATGTTCGATTTATTCAGTTCTGAAAACCTTTTTCTATTGGGGCCATTCCCTTGCTTATGTGAAAAGGGATTGAAAGCTGAGGTCCCACCCTTTAAATTCAAGGGTGATTCCATTGATGAAACAAAGGCACTTTGCAAAATATCTCATAAACGAGAGGCAAGAAATGACATTTACAAGCAGATATTTTGTCGGATTCAATTTCTTAGCTACTCGGAAATTTTGTGTCTGCTGATTTGATGGCAAGGAAATTGTACTGCCACGGTTGGTGACCTTATTTTATCAGTTAGTTCATCTTTTGTCATTAACATTTATTTATTTTCGAATAATGTTTCTTCATTTTGAATGATTCTCTGAGCATATGCGTGTCTACATATGTTATAGTTAACAAAATTTTATATAACGATATCTTTAATAATTAAGGTAGTTTTTGGATTTTCCATATCAAAATTTTAAGGAATTTGAAATACGTGAAGAATTAATTACTTCAATTAATTTTCTTTCATTCTTAACTATAAGTTCTTTGTAAGTATGAAGCCTACCTTGGGTTGGGACATCTTTTGGTCTATTTGTATTAATAAAAACGAGTTAAAAGCTGCTAAAAATACCACTACAGGCTTTTCTTTTTGGTTGAACACACTAGGTTTTGAAATAAACAAGATCAAACGAGAAAACAAACCTTGTGTTTTTCTTTCTCTTAATGTTGACTCTAACAAACATAAATGGTTAATATTTAATTTTGTGAAATTAACAGTTTGCTACGCAAATTCGGAAAACTGAGCCTTATGTTTGTCACATTGTTGCTTTAAAACTTCAGTTAGTTTGTACACATGTATATTTTCCTCAAATAATAAATAATTATTTCTTTTGCAAATCAGTTGAACCAATCCAATCTTGAATCAACAGCTTCATTGTTTATAGACTAAACTAATTTTTAAAATATCAATTGTAATTTAAACTTGTAAAATATTTTTATTTTAAAAAAAGCAAACCCACATACTACCCAACTAAACGCGTATTAACATGGGCCAAACAGAAAAGTCCAATTTGGCTCCAAATTAAACAATCCATGTTATCCAAAAAATGAGGGACACTGATCTTTTTTTGGGTCGAGCATGTTTGCTGGTGGACCGAACCCATCAATCAAGTACAATTGTTTGGTTCAAGCTTTTTCTATTTTGTATCAACACATGATTTATTTATATATATTTTGCCATCATTAATTCGAAAATCTTTTCAACTTTATCTAGTGATTCCCCTAATTATGCAAAGCACTTTACCTACTAAGCAAAATTTCAGCTCATAATTAGAAGTAGATATATGGGTTTAAAAGTTCATAAATTTATAGGTATGGATTAAAAAATATGTGACGTGTTTAACTAAGGGTCTAGGTGGGTGGATTGGCACCTGAGCGTAAAAATTAAAATATCAAAATTTTATAAAAATTTAAATATTTTTTAATAAATTTAAAATAAGAATAATAAAATGGAAGTAAAAAGGTAATAAGTAAAAAACATAAAAAGTGAGTCTTAAATATAAATCTGAATTTCAGGATTTTTGAAAAGAAAGGAACCACAAAGTAATATTCCCATAAAAAATATATGTATAAAAGAAATAACAAATCTTAGCTTAGAACTGCAAAAGAAAAAAGTGTCTCACGTGAGACAGACCTGAGCCTACAAAAAAGGCTTTCTTCAAATCACGTGGTAACCATACATCTTTGATTACAGTTAGCAGTTGCATAAGTGTTTAGATTCCAAATATAATGGTAACAACCATATAGAAAATTCTCTCAAAAAGCTAGGAATCAGATGCTATAGACATAGAACCAAGAAATAAATTGAATTCCCATGACTCATCCAGCACATGGTACCTTAGATGCTCTAAATATTCTTCAGTTGAAGTTTGTGTGTACTGCAAGGACCATGTACAAATATTGGACAATGATATCATGATGTTCTGTTTGATATTTTGATATGCATCACTGGTTCTAGAGAAAAACCATGAGCACTGAACCCATCTAGCTACAATTTGCATCAAAATATTTTAGTATCAAAGCTAAATTCTTCCTATAGATACTACTATCAGACAGAACTAGGTGCAGAAATTAATTGTTTTATAACAGCTGCACACTATGAATTATGAAAAATAAACTACTTCATGCATGTTGTAGGATATAATAAGCCTGTAGGATTGATTTATCGTATCATACTGATTAAACAAATATTGAAAATACGATAATTTAAGAAGAATCATCTTATTATGTTTTTTTTAAAATCATATTCACCAAATGAGCCTTTAGAAAGTAATAATCAGGATGACACATAAAAATCGTTCTAGTTTATTATTTGTCTTCCTGGAAGTTCTCTTCTTCCACTCGCGTCTTCACTTCTTTCATTTACATTTTCTCCATTTTGTTGGTGTACTCAGTAACTCAGGTTAAGTTTCACTACATTTTTCATCATGGCCAACTTTTCAAATGACAAGTGGCATGGCAATAATAAGATCATTGCATAGTGCATATATACCCCACTAAAAGATAGGGCAATTGGGAAGAAATAGATGAACGAAATAAAATAAAACAGTTCTAAAACTTGTTTAATTTGTTAATGGGATGGATTACAGAAATACATAAATAATAAGTAAAGTGCTTGAGCAAAGCTCTTTTAACATTATGTTTCTTACTGTCGACAGCAAATGCCCGAACATTTCGAGTTGCCTCTAGTAACATTTTAAATTATCTTGTGTATGCTTTTCGATTCCTTAACGAGTGTTTGAAGAATACTTGTAAAGATAAGCATGAGTACTTGTAAAGATAATATCCAAACCAGAAGTCATTTAATAGATAAAAATCTTATTCCTAACTAGTAAGTCTTATGAGTGTCAATTAATGATTTTTGAAAAGAAAAGAAGTATATATGATTTTCATTCCTAAAGTGGGTGTGGGCCTGTGGCCCTTTTCATTATTATTTTTTGGTCAAAGCCCTCTTCATTCTTAATACATAGTGATGAATGACTCTGGGCTGGGTTAAACTTTGCAAATGTCCTTTTTCCGAAAGGCCTAATTTGGACCCAAAAAAGACTCCGAAAATAACCCTGAAAAAACCATCTGGGTTTCTTCTGGAACCTATCCTTAGAAATGAAGATGGAGGAAAGTTCATACCTTTCTGTGAGAAAAAATAGGTGCTACAAGGTAAAACCCTTTTCCCTTTTTATTCTCAAGATCCAAACTTTTATGTTTTTATCTGTTAATTGATATAGATATGGTGTTTTTTTTATGTTTAAGAGAGGTGAGAGAGACGTGAGGTGAGGGACGATGTCCAAGTCTTGCAAAGGGTTGGCCATGGAGCTAGTCAAGTGTCTCAGTGAATCTGATTGTGTCAAGGTTCGGTTTGAATGATTAAAAAAATTGCTTTTTTGAGTGTGATTTCTGCAATTTTTAATTTGAGTATTGTGATGATGAATAGGTTGAGAAGAGATCATATAGGGAATGTGCTGGGGAGAAGACTCCATCAATACCCAGTGAGTGTGTGGGACTAAGGGAAACCTATTTCAATTGCAAGAGAGGCCAGGCAAGTGTTTATCTTTTCACTTTATCATGCTACCTTTTATGTGATTTCAAATGCTTTTGGGCTATTCGTTTTCTATGCTATTGGTTTACTGCTAGCGCCAGCATTTACTTTTAGCTTGAATATATGAGTTGAAGTTGGCAAATTTTGAATGAATGTTGAGTATTTTTCATGATTGGGCATTGCCATTATCATTTTTTTTTCGCTTCTAATTTTCTTTGCAATATGTAAATGGAGTTCAGCCAAATTGTATGGTTGCTTATTTGTAAACTATAGTACCATAGAATAGTGCATAAAGAGACGTTGGTAATTGATATATGGTTGCAAGTATGGAATTGAAAAGTTGGGAAAGGCAAGTTAATCTAGGCCATAGGGATTTGGAAAAACATTCAAAGTGATAGGATTAAATAATTATTTAGGTCCACAAGGTAGAGTGAATTAAAATTAAATACATTGAACTTGGGGCAAGAGACAGGGTAATGGATTTTTTTATCATTTATGGAATTTCATTCTTGCATTAGCTTTCAAAATAGAGGAAGACAATGGAATGGTTACAGAAGGATGATAGTTTTTCTCTCTGGTGGGAAAGGCAATTTGCTGAAATCCTCTTTAAAACTTGTTCTTTTCACGTTTATGTTCCCTCAAGTATGGTTGTTTTGAGTAGTTGTCAACATGGGCATTTTACGTGACTGTATAATTGTTGAAAAGCTTGAAATAGTCTGATAGTTAAGCTGGTAATGTCAATCTATATGATATTGTTTCGATTGTATCTTTTTAATTTACATATGCTAAGTTAATTTAGATTTAGGGTGTGTTTGAAAAAACTTATAGTTAGCTTATGACTCATAAGCTCTTTTAAACTTATTTCCATAAACTTATTCATCCAGCTTATAAAAAATAAGCTCTTTTTTCGACTTATTTTAAAAAGTTTTATGGTCTAATTGATGGTAAAAACCTATTATTCAATACTTTATTGAATAAGTGGTTAATTTAGTTATTCTCTTGCATGACTGCACGAAAGATCGTGAGATGTTTAAATCATATTCATTATGATCATACCTTAAGATTTTTAGATTAGGTAAGAATGCTGATTATTACATTTGATTATTGCACTTGGTTAAAATAACAACCAACCAGGCATTATTCTAATTCAGGATTAAATTCTACCAGGTTGTTTTTAAGAATTTTTTTTTTTAATTAGTAGTAATGCTCACAACCTTTTAGCTCTTTTTAGTTTTATTAATAGGGTCTTCATGGCTAGTACTATATACCCTTGGTTTGAAATAAGTCAAAACATCTGACTCAGATTTGTTTGATGGTACATTTTGCCATCTACATGTGCAAATAATACAAATAGTAGGGCTGAGTGAATCAATTGTAGAAATGTATAGCATTGGCAAGGAAAGTGATGAATCGATTTGTGTTAGCAATATCATGTATAAGCTTCAGTGTGATATTAAAAATTAAACAGCTAGTTTATTTATTTTTTCAATTCTTATCAGGTTGACATGAGAGCTAGGATTCGTGGAAACAAAGGCTACTAATGATCCCACCATACATTGGAAAGCTCTGCAGTTGTACTGTCCAGTTCTGGCTCTTTCAATATCTGGTTCAAGATGAAGTCAACACTCGTGAAAGATGGTGAATCAAAGAAATGGGAGGCCTTTTTAATAGTTGATTTGATGGCATATTAAGCAATGCATGAACCTGATAGCAAGAATTTTGCTTTATTGGAGAGAACATTAATATAAAAAATAATTCTTAAATTTCTGATCTGTTATGCTTAGGCAAATTTTTTTAATCATTAAAGAGATACAAGTAATTTTTATATATTTAAGATAATAAATGTATCTAATTTTTTTATTTAATACATGCTTTATAAAGTGGTAGAAGAATTATTAAAAATATTTATAAAAGGATATAGGAAACTTCTTAACATTAACTATGGAGTATTAACATAGTATTACATGTACATTCTCCTACACTCTGGAGTACCTTCCTCTTATGATGGATCCTCTGAAAGCTAGCTCACATACTTTTTGTTTCTGCACTTAAACTGACGGAAAAAGTTCACTTAACAATCGATGACTGATTACGAACAGAACAATATTGTGAATTAAACGGAAACTACCTGATCTGGCGGTTAATCGAAAACCAAACAAATACATTATAAATTTGTTTAAAAACATAAAACAGAACACTTCTCAAATGTTTTAAACTATTTGGGTAAGATTTTAAGAAAAATCCGAGGCTAAATTCACTCAAATATGAATTTATTTTAATACTATAAGTTGTAACTTTCATGTTAAAATGTAATTTTAAAAAGTTATTAAATATACTAAAAATATCCAGTTTCAGTTTTTCTTAGAGGTTGATAAGAAAGTTTTCAAAATAATCACTTGTCATAGATGAAAAAGTAACGAACAAGACAAAGAACAACTCCAGACAAAAGTATTCTTATTTAACCTTAAAATTGCAAATATTTTATTTCAAAAATTATCTTTGAACGATTTCCGCTGTACAACCATATGGTGTCCCTCTTTATTCAGTGAGTAATGTGACATATTTAGGGAGAAAAAAATATAAATAAAATAATTCTAAATTCTTGTATCTTTTATACGTATAAATCCCCTTAATTATAAATAAAGAAAGCATTAGATAGTTTTTATATTTTTAAAATAATAAATACATGTAAAAAAATATTCAAAGTAAAATTACTTTTTATAATTATAACAAAAAATAAATAGCTTTTGCTTTACATAAAAATCACATTTTTTATACATTCCTAAAATCACTTTTCTTTTTTAAAGTTTAAACAAATAAATCAATGATTTATAACTGATCTTCAAAATTTTCAAGCAAATAGTTTCGACACACAACTCATTGCAATTCTCCATATTCAATGAGACTATTATATACACAACATTATACAATTTTGACAAAAGGAACACCGCGTAAACTTGCAAGTTAGGCTGATATTTTGCATACATGAGATTTGTAATTTAAGGTTTTATAAAATTATCCACTAGTGCAGATTTAAAAACAAAGTCATAAACTTATCTCAAAGTCATAATCACAAGGCTCCACATCATCTAGAAGAACAATATGGGCTTCCCAACAAACCACATTACAAGTGCTATTTACTTTGCCTACACTTCCCTGAAGAACATCCTAATCATCAACATGATTATCAGTAGAATTATCAGGTTCACCCTGTGAAAACACCTTAAACCAGTCAGTGTATATTAAAGTAAATATAAAATCAAACCAAACTACAAAGGGCATATAAACATCTCAGCTTATGATATTTACATTTGAATCATCAACACAACCCGCAGCAGGAATTTTGGGCTCAACCTGTAAAATTCAACTCAGCCTAGTAAGCATTAACAATGTCTTTGTAAACTTAAAATAGAGAATACAGATGTATCAATTAAGATTCCTCACCAAAAGTTTCCTTGCACCTGCCAAGGAGGGATCCAAATCCTTCAACACAATAGCTGGTAATTGATCAATGTCCCAACCAACAACTTTGCAGATGACCTGTGCATAGGCCCGGTGAGCTCGCCTCCTTCTTGTCCTTAATATGGCAGTGGAATGCTGAATTAATGCAACACAATCCTTAAACCTCTTCCATACCTTTTTCCCTATACCTCCACAAACCAAACAATAAAAATCCCCTTCCCTATGATTGTTCTCATAATATCTCCTCAACTCATCATCTTCTGCAAACACTCTTTCAAAGAACTTATATTCCTCACATTCTTTAGAATCATAATTATCTACTGATCCATCTTCATCTTCATCTTCATCTTCATCTTCATCCTCATCCTCATCCTCATTGTCATCTTTGTCACCATCAGAACCAGCATTGCCAATTAAGAACTTCTGGCAAGCTTCTAATGCATTGTGCTGCAACTGCAGCACTGCTACAGTTGCCTGCTCTTCTGCTGATAGAGAATAAGCATGTGAAGGTGGTTTGATGTCAAAGGAAGGCCATCCTGAAGCCGTAGAAGAGAAACCACCATTGGAGCTTTTGCATACCCATTCATCATCAGAAACTGGAGATTCACCAGATGCCTACATTTAATTTTCATTAGTTACAAGAAGAAAACATATGTGGGAATTGGGATTTGCTAGCACCCAATATTTACATTCCATCGCTATTCCAACTTTCACTAAGGTAAGGTAAAGGGACTCGAGGAAAGCTATATCCATTAAAACTCTTTGTATTTGAATTTTGATCATGTAATGCGGTTAATGAGCACAATCAAGAACATTTCACCACGCTTGTAGTAGTGATGGTGAAATAGATCTCCACCGCAGGGTACCAATCCAATACTGCCAATCTAGTAACTATTTCTCAACACTTACATAAATGCCTTGCAGAAGAAGAAAGACCATGCATACAAAAAAAGCTATTCTTAAAATATTTTAACCAACATACACATAAGAGGGATTCAAAGTGAAAAACAAAAAGTGTAAAGGTGCACGCTTTTACTCAGCATTCATTATTTGATATTATATACCACAATTATCTCTCACCTTATCCACTTCTCCTCCACTTTCTGAACTCATTTCCAAGGCTTTTCCATCTACCCTCTCTTCTTCTTTCACAAAACTCTGTAAACACAACAATCAAAAGAGAGCTAACATCATAACCATGCAAAAACATTAGAACCCATTCACATCACTTTGTACCAAACTAAAATTACTTTCTTTCTCACTTCCTTTTCTTTTTCTTTTCCCTTAAAAAAGGTGGAACTAAAGCATAAAGATAGTTAACCTCAGATGAAATCATGAAATCCCTTTACATGATCAACAAGTTCACAAACATCATTTGCATCATCAGCATTTTCCTCAAAACGTTAAAACAATACAAAATCAACTTAATGTAACCAAAAAAATATGCTTTAATTGAATGAACCCAGAAACAGTATTACCTCTGCCTCAGTAGGCTTCATCCCCACAGAGAAAATAAATTTACGAGGGAGTTTTAGGGTCCTGAATTTGTTAAAGAAAAACCTTTGTTTGTTGGTATAATATACTGTGTACACTTGGGCTTTTCTCTTTCACTATAAAGCCCAATTGATCCATCCTTCGAGGTCCAACTTTTCACTTAGGTTTTGTTTCATTTACCAAAGCAAAAATTTACAAAAAAATAAAAATGAAATTGTTTTATTAACTAATTAAATTTGTGTTTACCAAAAAAGTAATTAAATTAATGATAAAAATAATATAACATAATTCATATTAATATTTAAAATGAAATTAGTATATATTTTTAAATTATGTTTTATCAGTGAATTTAGTCTGTAAATTTATTACCAAGAATATATTTAACCTATGAAATACATATTTAAAAAATATATTTTAAAATAAATTCCTTTATTTGAATTGTTTGTCTCATTTTTTATTCATTTATATAGTTTTTTATCATTTAATTTTTTCTTTTTTTATTCATACTCGCTTCTATATCCCTAATTTAAATATTTTTATAACTATTTTTTTTTTCATTTTCATGACTTTTTTAAACCTTAAAACCTTAATCCTTCTGTTTTTCTTGCTCATTTGTATAATATTTTCTCACTTAGTATGTGTATAATTATTCATATAAAATTCAGTTTTGACTTTTTGATGATAATTCTATACGTTTATGAAATACAATTCATTAAATTGAGATTCACTACATGTATATATAGTGTGTTGGCGCGTGGGTCTCACAGGGGTGGCCAGGTCCCCACCGTGAGAGTCTGTGGAAGAAGAAGCTGAGTTTGAGAAAGATAAGGAAATTAACAAAGGAACCCTCTTTCATCTCTTCACACCCTCATGGCTAGTACTTCCATTAACAGGTTTTTCATCTCTCTCTCTCTCTCTCTCTCTATCTCTCTCACTCTCACACATGAATTCAATTCACTTTTCTTCTTTTTAGCAGTGGTCTGGGGTGGAAATCTTCCTGCTTGTTCGTACAATCCAATCGGTTCAACGTTGTTTTGCCTCCTTTCAAACCAAAACCCCCCCTTACCAAGTTTTCTCTCACTTGCTCTGCCACCTCCTCTTCTTCTGGTACTCTCATTTTCTTCCTTCTCTCTGCTTTTTCAACTCTAATTACGAACTGGGTTTCTCTTCATTTTTTGCATTCTGCGTTAGTTGTGCTCAATTTCACTTTTTTTTTTGTGTGCGTGGAGTTATTTTGAAGTGGAAAGGTTGTTGCTTTACCTATATCACTAAATGTCATGTACTGTAAAAGTTCAATAATTTAGATGCTGGTTGGTAGCACTGATCATTATATGATGCAATGAAACGGTAATTTAGATGTAAAATCAATTATTCTTTGGTGATTGTTGAATTTGATTGAAGGAATGAAGGGGGAAAAACAAAAACAAAGTAACCTTTTTTTTTAAAGAATAAACTACCAGACGTTGCACTGTAAAATTCCTTTTAGATGCTGCTTCTCAGTTAGATGCAAGGAAAGGGTAATTCAGATGTCAAATTATTTATAGGTGTTGTGGAATTTTGTTGATGAGGGAAGAACACTAAGGAAAAGAAGTTTCTTTCAAGAGTAAGCTACTGTTTATGCCTAGAAGCGTTTAACCTAGTTTCATACTTTTGCAAGTTCTTCAAAGTGACAAATACTGTTCAAAGTTCAAACAATCCCATAGAAGAGAATGTATAGAACAGAGCATCACTCTCTTTTTCTCTTCATTATCCTCTCATTATCTCTTGTCTTTGTCCTTTTCTGTCACATATGCTGGCATGCTACTGCAAACACAGGGGCAAGGGAAATTGAATTGCATGCTGTGTTCCCTTTTTAATTTTATTTTATTCAGATCCACTCTTGGTTAAGGCTGCTAGGGGAGATCCTGTGAGTCGCCCTCCGGCGTGGATGATGCGCCAAGCAGGAAGGTACATGGCTGTTTACAGAAAGCTTGCTGAGAAATATCCATCCTTCCGAGAGAGGTCAGAGACAACTGATCTCATTGTGGAAATTTCTTTGCAGCCTTGGAAAGCTTTCAGGCCTGATGGAGTAATTATTTTCTCTGATATCCTTACACCTCTACCTGCATTTGGAGTTGATTTTGACATAGAAGAAGCACGTGGACCTGTTATACATTCACCCATTCGTACTGAGGAGGGATTAAAGACTTTGCATCCAATTGATCTTGACAGGCTTAGATTTGTCGGAGAATCACTTAAGATGCTGCGCCAGGAGGTAAAATTTAGTTGCATCACCTCATTTATATCGTGGCCATCCTTACTTATTTTTTTCTTGTTTAGGTTGGTGGTCATGCTGCAGTTTTGGGTTTTGTGGGAGCTCCTTGGACAATAGCAACATATATTGTTGAAGGGGGTACAACACGTACATATACAATCATTAAGAGCATGTGCCACACAGCACCACACTTATTGAGGACTTTGCTTTCTCATTTGACACAAGCCATAGCTGATTACGTTATTTTCCAAGTTGAGTCTGGGGCTCACTGCATACAAATATTTGATTCATGGGGTGGACAACTACCACCTGAAATGTGGGAACGCTGGTCAAAGCCTTATATCAAAGAGGTAACTTTGAAAAAAATTCCCATTTCTTTCTTTCCTGATGAAATTGTGTTTTGATTTTTTGAACTTTTCAATTTGGGATTCTTGTTATATTAAGCCTTCACTTATGTTATAATAGCTTTGACTTTAGGGAAGTTCTTTAGTTGAAGAAAGGAAAACAATATGTAGCTCGCTGAGCTTTGCAACAAATAACAGGTTTTATGTCAAGCTAATTGTTATACTTGCCAGGCTTCCATGATTTTTCTTACTCAGTTGACTTACTAAAGAATATGGTCAAATAAAGCTTGTAGTTTGCAATTTTTTTTCAGGAAAAAGAGGGAAGTAATAACCCGTGATCAATAAATAAGCTCATTGAATGTTGATATTGTGCTTTTATGCTTTATTTAGATTCATGTTGCTGTTTGCATCTTTTCTCAATTTACAATACACAAGCCCAAGGTTGGATACTATTGAGCCTCTCTCTTCTTTTTTCCTTTTGACATGTGCTGTTTTCTGAACTTCCAGATTGTAAATTTGGTCAAGAAAAAATGCCCTGGAATACCAATTGTTCTTTATATAAATGGAAATGGTGGCCTTCTCGAGCGTATGAAAGACACAGGAGTTGATGTTATAGGTCTAGACTGGACGGTGGATATGGCAGATGGAAGAAGAAGATTGGGCAGTGGGATAGGTGTGCAAGGAAATGTGGACCCTGCCTACTTATTCTCCCCTCTTCCTGCCCTTGCTGAAGAAATTCAGAGGTGGGTGAATTTATCTATAATTTGATCTTCTTGAAGTCATTTTACATGGTTTTGTGGCATAGAGCTAGACATAACCTTTACATGTCCAGGCCGTGTATATATATATGAACTGCATGGCTGAAAATAATGGAACAAGCTAAGGGCAACTAGCAAAAATAAGTGAAATGTTCTTTATGGAATTGTGGCTAAGCTATTAATCTTTTAGTTTCAAAATTATGAATTAGTTCAATCATTCTTGTGTGCATTTGAAAAGGATACAGAGAGACCTAAAAGAAATTTTTACAAAGGACCTCTTGGTAAATAATATCTTAGAAAATTTAATTTTTTACCGAATTCAATGATATCATGTGATATTTGTAGTTTATCTCACTTAATGAAATAAGGTTTTGTTGTTGTATCTTTGCACGCTTTTAAGATAAAGGTCAAAGTTTTGTTCAGCTCTGTGACTAAAACTAATGTCATTAGATGTTAATATGCTACTGGTTGAGTCCAATTGAAACATCTTAGTCATAAATGAGAATGGAGAAATGAATTGTATCAATAAATTTTCTTGACTTAATATGATAATTATTATTTGTCAGGGTTGTGAGGTGTGCGGGACCTAGACGGCATATCCTTAATCTTGGTCATGGTGTTCTTGTTGGCACACCTGAAGAAGCTGTTGCACATTTCTTTGAAGTGACTAGGAGCTTGCAGTTTGATACACTTTTTCAAAATAATACTGCAAAAGATCCTAATCTCGTAATTTAAGGACAAATGCAATTAGTGTGCCACTTGTTTTACTTTGCCTGAGGAAGAGTGTAGGATTAGTCCTTCCTGATTCTTATGATCAAGAGTATGAGGATTTGCACATTGCTGTATCGGCTAACTAGATCAAGTTGTGATTTCACATTCTGCTGTATTTATAATTGAATATGATAAATTAATAAGAGAATTTCTTCCAATTGTTTATTTTTGGGTAAATGCCCTGTGTTTGTACTAATAATTTATTTCAGAGAATTATCAATTAATTTATAAGTTATCATGGCGTTCTGGCTTGTCTTTTCAAATCGCATATGACCCCTAGCATTCTACATTTGGTTAAATTAACTTATTTTAGAACTAAAATTGTTTCTTATCAAAAGCTTCATCGAAAAATTTTGAAAACAAAAGTGATTATAATCTAAAATTAGCTATATTCAAAAGCGCACACTTGTGTCTCAGATTTTTCTAGTTAGGTTGAACTAATAAAATTTAAATTGCAGCTTATGCCATTTTCGTTTTTAACTTTTTTAAACATTTTTAATTAAAAAAAAAAGTTTGAAAATAATATTGGATAAGGTTTCTTTTAACAAAAAGTAATAATATTTTTTCAGAATTTTAAAAAAAAATTTGTGAAAAAAAAAATCATGAAAACTTCCCTAATGCACCCGAATAAACAATTGAAGTGCTTGTCATTGGTGTCGTGAATTTACAATTAGTAACATTAAAATAAACATGAATTAACGTTTATTCAAATCTAAATTCAAATACGCTATAAGTCACGAAACATAAATTGTGAGTGTACGAATTTGGTCTCTCACGAATGACAATGTAACTTGAGGCTAAGCACATAGGTGAAATGTTAGTGCATATACAGTGGAATGGTTGGCTTATTGCCGTAGAGCCTCGTTAATAGTGTTGAGAGCCTTTTCATATGATAAAAACCCCATAAAAATGAACTCATACCCATCCATTGTGACAATCTGGATGTATTTTTCTGCAGGGTTCATTCTATTTGCGGCACGATTCACCGTGCTCAACTGATCCAACTGCACTACCACCTACATGTTAGACACAAAAAAAATAAGTACTTTTAAATAAATATAAGGTTCATTTATAAATTTAGTTTCTGCATTTTACATTATTTTTCATTTTAGTTCCTATATATAAAAACTATATTTTTAATTCCTATATATGACATATTGTGTTTTATTTTATCTTTGTATAAGATGTATTATTTTCCCAGGAAAAAATTGTTCAATCAATAATCATTTTAGTAGATACATGTTCTTGCTTGGAAATTTAGTACATCTTTAGTTTAACTTGTTCATAAAAGAATCCTTTTTATAAAGTTTGTAAATGTTGAGAATCTGAATCAATAGTTATTATTAATGTTTATTCTTATTTTATGAGTTTCAATTGTGGGTATAAATAAACTGTTACATATTTATAAATAATTTTATTTGTGATTTATGTTCAGATTAATGACTGAAATTAGAATTAACTTTTAAATTATGATTTTTTTGTATTTAAAAGTTGTTAATATAAATAAAAGTGAGTTTTCACTTTTAAACAGATCCAATCATAAGGAAATAGCTAAGGGTGCTTTTGGAAACATAGCATTATTAAACGTTTATTCAATAATTTTTTTTACATGATGATTGATGTTATAAATATATTTATAAAATTTGTTGGAATAAGTTAAAAATAACTTAATTTGATAAGTTATATTAAAAAGTTTATTGAAATAAGTTAAAAAGAGCTATTTTCATAAGTTCTGTATAAACTGTTTTAAACAAGTTCTAAGGCTTAATTTGAATGAACTTCTAGTATACGTGAGCTTTTTAACTAACATAAGTATTTGATTCTTATAAAAAAAATTCATTGAGTTTATAGATGTCTCTAGAAATACTAGACGAGAAACAATTTTAAAAAGTTGAGATGTATAAATTGATTTTAATTTATGTGTGGAGTTTATTTTATTTCTCTTTCTTGATTTAATTTATTTTCTTCTCTTGCTTACTGAGAACTTTATCCACACTGATTTTTCATTATTAAAGAACAATGCAAGGAATCTTCTCTGCATGTTTTGAATAAGAGTTATTCAGGATCTATATCATCTTCTCTAAGATTGCAACTTCACCAAGAGAATTTAGCTAAGGTGTTTAATAAAAGAGCTACATCAGCAAGACTGTGATTGAATTGGTGATTGGCTTAGTGTGCAAAAAATACGGAGCAAGCCTTTATTATTTATTTTTTGTGTCTATGGTTAGTTTAAAATAAATTAGCATTCAACTTCCAAGTGAAGATGGGCAAACTTGTGAATATTTCATTAACTTCCATAAGCATCTGAAAAAACCAGATATTACCAAAGAAAAGGAGGACAACCCTTCTACCATATGACTGAAAAAGAAAAAGCAGAAGAGAACTCACAATGATTCCATATATTGTCAACCATGATCTCAACTTGTTTAGTTGCTTCTTCAACCTTCTTACCACAATGACTTAGTGCACCGTATATTGTATCCATTGGATTAGGACCTGAAATCATAGCAAGAACATCAGTGAAATAAGAATAAATTAAGGTACAGAAACACAATCTCTTGGAAATCACTCACGTTTGGCTGCTTCAGAGGAAAGGTGGCCAGATGAAAGGTAAACATAAGGGTTGTTGTTGTTGTTGCTAGTTCCACTAGCTGTAATCGTAATCTCTTTGTGATCACTCATTCCCTTGTTTAGAGAACCAAGAGAGCTTGACACTAGTGGATACAAAGTGGGTTAGAGGAAGGATGAGAGAGAAGAGAGGAACAAGAACAAGATGGGTGTGAAAGAAGGGTAGAATAACATGAACAGAGGAGGGAATGCAAGTAGAATACTTAGATAAGAATGTTGGACCAATATGCTTATGTGATTTTCAATGCACACCACATCACCTTCACCTAGTGAATACAATTTAGTGGAGATAAATTGTATTCTTATTATTTTTTAACATTTAGAAGAGTCATAGGAAAAGAAGAAACATGGATATGAAAAAAAAGAGTGATGTAATAGAAATATATAGAAATTAATTGAGTTATGAGTAAAAAATTTGAGGCAACAAAACAGACTATTTAACTCAATTTAAACTTAGAGTTTAACAAAAAAGATTTGCTTCATATTCAAGCTATAAAATAAAAGCTTTTTAAATTTATATTTTAAATTTAAATAGATCGAATCAGCTAAAATATAATATAGAATAAATAATTAAGTATAAAAAATAAAAAATAGTTCAGGACTAAAATTTAAAACTAATCCTATATTTTAAAGGCCTTAATCGGGGAGTTCGAACTTTGCCAACTTTAAATAGAATGGCATAAGTGACTTGTAGTGTGCAAGTGCATGCCATCGCATTAAGAAATAAATTTGAATTTAATGATAAAATTCAATTTCACAAATTGTAAAATAGTTAAAACTTATTGCTCGTATAGTTGCATGTAAGTTTATGGAACAATTTATGTGAAATCCGAAAAAGCAAATATTCTTAAATATATTTGAAATGTACGTGAGTGGTTCCTTGTTAAAGAATTTAGAATTAAAGTAAAGAACTCCTAGAAATGACGACGACGAACTGATTCATGATAAATATATTCACAACGCCGAAAGAGAGATGCTGCTTCTGTGGAATATGATGCTAAAGAGTGTAGTCTGAAAAATAAAATTACAACATACATATAGACGTGAGATTAAATGACAAATCTCAATCACGATAAATGAATGAGAATCTTTTAACAAACACTGTTTCTGTTTATTATTAGTATTTTATAAAATTAATGATGGCGATTACATTTTTTTATGATGTTTTTCTTAATAATATATATCTTTGATAATATTTTTCATTAATCTTTAAATAAACACGCAGTTGCATCCAAAATAATTGACACTCAAGTAATTTACAATTTATTTTTTTTAAAGATGATAGTATAGTCATTTGCATTCAGTATTTACACATTAATTTAATTGTAACAACCCATTAAAAATAGGGATAATAATAGCTAAAGTACTCGATGGGCACCCACAAAATTTACCGACAATGAGTAAGGTATTTACCGTTATATAGGTACGGGTATAGGTGTAAGTAAAAACTTGTAAATTTTAATGGAAATGGATGCGAGTATGAGTATTTAAGTACCCACCCTTCCCCATACCCCGTGTATATATATATATATATATGCTTGAACTTTATTCTATAATTATGCATTAAATTTTTATATTATTATATTACTTATATGAAGTTATATAAGATTAATATAAAAATATATTTAATAATAAAGTAAACTAAAAAATTTATTTTAGTTTATATTTTAATAGAAAAATTTATTTACTATTTTATATCATTTAATTAGGTTAATACAATTTAATTATTACATAATTAATATGAGATTGAATTTTTTAAAAATATTATTTATATATGGCACACATAAAATATTTTTCACATAAATATTTTTGTTAATAAAATCATATTGATATTTAAATCATAAAGTGAATGATAAATAATAAATATTTTATAAATTTTACAATCACCTACTATTACTGTAAATTTATTATTTATTGATAATATTTAAATTTTATTTTTATATTTTAATTTAAAATAATATTTTCTATGCAACATATGTATTACAAGCACAACTATAATATATTGAATCTAAATGATATTATTCTTATTATTTATTTACGTTTAAAGAAGTTTTTGAAAAGATATAAAATATAAAAAATTATTGTTAATTTTTATTTGTTAATTTTTTCTTCAGATAAAAAATTATAAATTTTTAATATACACATATATTTCTTTATTATAAAATTTTATTGTGACCATTTATCTCTTATTCAAATTCTTTCTTTTAAAATTTATATATATTCTAAATATTTAATTCATTAAAATAATTTTTTAAAAATTTGTATTTTTGACAAAATACTTTCGTATAGTATATGAGTTAAAAATACTAGTATTAATATATATATATATATATATATTAATTATATTATATTATTTTAATTAAATCTATTATTTTTCTTACAATTTAAAATTTAAAAATTAAAAAAAATATTTTATGTATCTATTTTTCGTTGTTAGTACTTGAACTTCTCTATCCTAACTCTATTTTCATTCTCAATTTCTATCTCATTAAAATCTAACAACTATGAAACGTTATTAATTAGAGTTAGTTGCCAATGCCGCCACAAGAAGTGACCAAGTGATCTCACACGAAAGGACAACTATTATACAGATCTATTTTGTTGTTACTCTGACATTACCG